TCAGCAGTGTGGGATTGTGCCAACGGGACTTCAGGAGTGTGAGGTGAGTTTCCTTTCGGTAGGAACGAGTCTAAGGCCACAATGCCATCCCGTTTAGTAGCAGTAGTTTCCGGACTTGGGTCCGATGCAGTTGTTAGTTTGTTTGATGCCTTCGTGGCTCAGACAAGATTTATGTGTTAAGTGTTATGGGCTACGGCCTGACGTAGTATGCAGTATATAAGTTTATGATCATGTGTGTTATGCTATTTGATATGTGTTTTGCTATGCTATGCTATGCCCAGTCAGTTCCGGACTTCGGTCCGATGCAGTTAGTTCCGGACTTCGGTCCGATGCAGTTAGTCCCGGACTTTGGTCCGATGCAGGGGACAAGGTCCCAGTCAGTTCCGGACTTTGGTCTGATGCAGTTAGTTTCGGACTTCAGTCCGATGCATGGGACAAGGTCCCAGTCAGTTCCGGACTTCGGTCCGATGCAGTTTCCGGGCTTCATCCCGATGCAGTGGGCAAGGCCCAATATGTGTTTATATGTTATTGTATGGTATGTGGTAGTTTGGGGGAGCTCACTAAGCTTCGTGCTTACAGTTTCAGTTTTGGTTTCAGGTACTCAGTTTTCAAAAGAGGAGCTCGGGAAGATTGCAGTGCACACACCATTTGTTCAGCCTGGGATGTTTATACTCTGATATATTTGACAATTGTTATAATATTTTGAGATACATAACTTATGATTTCTATATGAGGTTTATTGACTATGGTTTTATCATTAAATTAAACGAAATTTTCAGACTGTGTTTTTGGGACGTTACAAGTTGGTATCAGAGCCTTGGTTTGAGGGATTCGGGCGCACTCTCGAGTGTGTCTGAACTCAAACCTAGGAAGTGGTACATAGTTTTCAAGAGAAAAACCATGGTTACAAAAGAATTTTGAGAAAAGAAAACAATTTTAGAAAAGTATAAAGAAAATAGTTTTAGAAAAAGCGAAAAGAGTTTTGAAAAGAGAAAAGGGTGTGGTGCATGCAATCAACCGAGCTCAAGTAAGTACTCCCAAATTACCCATACAAGTTTATGTTATGATTGTCAGTTTCTGTTTCAGTAGAACAACATGCTAGAATAGGACTAAGGATCTAGGAGGATGCCTTATGTGCCTGCTATATGTGTTTCAGCTTTATGGGAATTGCATGCTACTATTGAGTAGACAGTAGTAGGATAGCCTGTTTAGGTTATGCCTGATAGTATGAGCCTAGCATTGTATGCTATTACAGTTTCTCGTTATGAGAATAGATTTGCTTGAGTAGTTTCCTGTGTCCGAATGCTGCTTGCTTTGTGCTTGTAGGACTTTGAGTGATGGGAGCTAGCCGTTAGGTGAATACGTCACGTCACATGTGATCAGGGTTGAATAATCTCAATGTGTTGGATTTGGCCCTATTGCGCAGCTCTTGTTTGAGTCTAACCGTTGTAGGGACGAGTCTTTTACTCGAAGGATTATCTGAGCCTCGTCACATGTGATGGTATTCAGGTGATGGCTAATTAGCATTACAGGAAGGCCTTCAGTAGCTGAGGACTAAATTGGATGTAGTCAGAGATTTCCCTAGGGCAAGCCTAGGAAGGTAGTAGCAGAGGTTAGTAGCAGTAGAGTGACTTGGTGGAGTCGAGGCAGTTCTTGAGGAAAGTACGGATAGATGTGGAAGGTAGTATGGGCCCGTACTACTGAAAGCAGAGGATCCGTACTCGAATCAAGGCAGTCTGAGATGAATCAGGGAACTCGTAGTGTGTGAGATCCCTCAAGTTTGGATGAGTATTGTGATGTTATTGATGACATGTTGTCGAGTATAGTGGCGCTACGTGGTAGACCAGATGGTAGTTCTGGTGTCGACAGGGGATCAGGCCCGGACTCTGGAGCCGGGCAGATTGATGATCAGATGAGAGAGTTCATTTCATCTGAGAATTTTGGGCAATATCACTAACCAGACTCCTGTGATCCTCAGTACGATCAAGGAGGGCATTATAGAGATTTGTGATGAGAGGCCGAGTGCATTCTGCACTAAGATAACAATCATGATAGAGACCCGTACGTTGATGTTTCGGGATTCCAGAGTTTGTGAGGCTTCAGATTGTCATGGGGGTTAGGGACCCCATTGTTAGCAGTAAATGGTTGGCAGATGTTGCCAACACTTTTCATACCAGACGTTGTCTCGAAAGGATACAATACCTGACTTACTTCCTGTCTCCTGAGGGATAGAGCACGAGATTGATAGGAAGAGGTTGGTAGTTAGTTGAGGGATGATGTGGTTGATGCTATGTCATGGGATGACTTCCAGACCAGATTCTGGGCAGAGTGTGCCCGGGTGATTGGGGCGCAGTAGCCTGGCGCAAGAGTTGTTAGATCTCCACCAGAAGACTGAGACTGTGGCAGAAATCACTGTCAAGCCTTAGGAAAGATCTTATGTGGTACCACGGTATGCAACAGATGAGGAAATGAAGAAGGTAAGTTATCAGAACATATTGTAGAATGATAGCAAGGAGATTGTGAGTATCTCGGGGTGCAAGACCCTGAATGATATGAATTCTAGAGCTTGAGATCGGGATATGGACTTGGAGCACATTGGTAAGAGGGAACCAAATCAGTTGCTTATAGTGAGGGGTCTCGGGAGGAGACCGTAGATTTCAGATTAGCTTTCGAGAGACCAGTAGGACTCGATTCGGTGCAGCACTTTCAAGAAACTACACAAGGGAGCCTTTCGTTCCATCGGCTGAGTAAGTGTAACCCTAAGTTAACCTCAATTTATGTCTGAACTATATTTTTAAAAAAGAGATGTCATATGCCAATTGCATACCGAGAAGCATTAGCGAGTAGTGATAGACCAATTCCGCAGATTACGGGATTGGGAAGTACGACATCATCTTGGTTTATTCCAAGACTGAGGAGCAGCACGAGAAGCACCTGAGGGAGGTGCTAGAGACTTTAAGGAGGGAGAGAATTTTCGCAAGGTTCTCAAATTGTGAGTTCTGATTGCACGGGGTGCAATTTCTTGGGCACCTTGTCAATCAGAAGGATATTCTATTCGATCCGGCCAAGATAGAGGTTGTGATGCAGTGGGAGATTCCGAGGTCTCCAATTGAGATTCGGAGCTTCCTGGGTCTAGCGGGTTATCACCAGAGATTTATTCGGGTTCTTGGAGGTGGTGTGATCCTTTGGACTGACTAGTGTTGAAACACTAGCAATGGTAAGTGTGGTTTATAGCAGATTGGTCATGGGTGGTGAGAAGGATTGGGAATTCTTCCAATTTTGTGTGTTGTAGGGCATTAGCTGAATCAAAGTGGGGGAGAATCGCCCAAGGATTCAGAAGCATGAGCAGTTTTGAGACTAGGATAAGTTTCGCATCTTTATTGGGAAGGAAGATAGCCCAAGCGGTTGTATGGTTTGAGGATAGTGTGAGATGGAAGTTCGGAAAAGTGTGCCAATAAAGAGATCACGTTCCCGTGATGTTACTAGCAAGCCTTATGGAATCAGGTTAAGGATTCCAGTTAGGACACGAGTTCAGCTGAGTGCGGGGCAAGCACGTGTTCGATCCAGCATCAGAGTGTTGTAAGTCTACGGGTGTAGCCGTAGCATTCACTAGCAGTCAGATAGTATTAGAGTGTTGTAAGACTGCGGGTGTAGCCGTAGCACTCACAAGATTAGCAGATAGTACTAGAGTGATGTGGGTCTGTGGGTGTAGCCGCAGCCTTCACTAGGTTGGTAGATAGCATGAGTGCGTTGTTAGGACGCAGAAGGATCAGTAGTACCCAGCAGTTCGGGTATAGCAGTGAGGAAATGGAAATCCACGGATTGGGTATCGAAATTTCCCAGACAGATGAGACCTAGTTAAGCCAGTGATAAGATTATAGAAGCGCCACTATAGAGATGAGAGCAAGGAAGCGGTGGACTGCTTAAGGTCATTTATGACACGAGGCTACCAATGGTCATGTAGCAATCACTTTTAGCCTTGGGTTTGGTGACGTTAGGATTTCACGTATGGACTCGATCAGTTAGATCAGAAAGTTATTAGAGCCTCAGTGGCATGGTAACTAGTGGCAGCTAGTTCAAGAGAAGGAACTTGTTCAGAATTCGTGTGAGGCGACTAAGTGGGAGTCATTTGGCTCAAACAGCCGGGCTGGAACCCGATATTTCAGATGAGTGGCGGAAAATTGAGACCCGGTAGGTCTCGGTAGATGTTGGGAAGCAGCCATGTGGCAGCATATAGTTTCAGACAGTTCAGTGTTCACACAGTTCAGTGTTTCAGGCAGTTCAGTGTTCAGGCAGTTCAGTGTTTCAGACAGTTCAGTGTTCAGGCAATTCAGTGTTCAGGCAGTTTAGTGTTCAGGCAGTTCAGTGTTTCAGACAGTCATGTGTTTCAGGCAGTTTAGTGTTTTCAGGCAGATCAGGGATTCAGACAGTTTTGGGTCTCCATCAGTGATGGTGTTTGAGGATCTCATGTATGATAAGTGTAAGAGATTGCTGAGTAATTCTTAGTCACCCCTCCCCCGTGGGGTTTAGCTATAATGATTCAGTATGAGTGGTTTTGTTAGGGATTCAGATAATCTAGAGATAGAAAACGTCAGACAGAGTACATGAGAGCTTGTTGTGAGGGATTAGTTCGCCGGAAAAATGTTAGGGCTTTGTGATGATTGGTCACAGCTACCTTGAGAAGGTTAGGGTGCGCCCAGGATGGTGATCATGTTACTTGAGTGGTTAGCGTGTAAGGTATGACAAGGATCGATTTCGAGGACGAAATCTAATTTAAGTGGGGGAGAGTTGTAACGCCCCGTTTATTTAAATAAATTAATAGATATAATTCCCTGACTAATTTGTAAAGGAATTGAAAGGGTAGGGTTTAAATGGTAACTTATAGACTTCTTTTGAAGGAATTTCATGGAGGAGGGGCCAAAGTGGTCGTTATGGCAAAGATTTGGTGGGGACGGGGTATATAGCTTCGTTACCAGTCATGCCCTAGCCCCAAGCCTCTTATGTTGCAGCCGCCATCGTCGGGATTCTCCAGCCACCGACCTCACCCTTCTCCGACGTACATCGCCGCCTTCCTCGTCTGTGAAGCCATAGAAACAAGACCACGGTGTGGCCGCCATCTCTCTCCTTTGCGTCTATTTTCCGATCAGTTGAGGCTGCTAGCGACCACCGTGTCAATGGAACGCCACTGTGACTTCCCGATATCGTGGTTAGAAGAAGCGAAACCCACCTCCGGTGAGTACCTCAGCCGCCATACGTAAGCACCCCAGTCGCAGTCGCTTTTGGTCGCGTTTTTCCGACCAGCCGAGCCGCTGAGCGTAATAGCTTTTATCTCCCAGCAATGGCAGTCGACAGCGTGGCTTCCGGGTGTGTGTGAGTCGTCATCTTTCCGCCATCCTCCTCCTTCTTCTTTCACTGTCGATGTTCAGGGTCCGACTAGACCGTCCGACGTCGTTCTGACCACCCTTCGCCATCGTTTTCCCAACAGACGAGTGGCCGCCGCCACTCCGAGCAACCGATGTACGATGCTGCTGCCGCCTCTCCGGATTTCTGCCATCGCCAAGCACCACCAGGTGGTGGTTGTGCTACTTTTCCAAGCATATGGGTGGTTGTTGTGTGTGTTATTTCAGTGATGTATGATTAATATTGGTTGATCGGAAAGCCAGGAATAGCCACCGCCACCACCGTGAGGTGGTGGCTGCTGCCAAGCATCGCCGCCGGCCACCATGGTGTGGTTGTGTGTGTAGTTAGCTTAGTTAGTGTGTGTGTGTTAGTTAGTTTTGGAGTAAAACTTGTAATTGTAATTAGCTTGGATTATTAATGAAAATAATAATAACCACCACCGTAAGGTGGTGGCCGCCGCCGTAAGCCGCCATAGACCACCACTACCCAAAGTGGTAGTGGGTGGTGCCCCTCAAGCAAAACCCTAATGGACCTAGCCAAAACCTTAATGGGCTTAAAGATTTATTTTGGGCCTATTGGGCCATGTTTGGGTGGAAAACCCTAATTGTGAGTAATTGGGCCTTAGACTTTTATTGGACCTACTTTTGGGCCATTGGGATTAGATTGTGAATTAAGCCCAAACTATTTCATGTCATTTATCAAGTAGAGTAAAGAACTTAATGGACTAAGTCCTTAATGAGTTAATTGAGAAAATATTAATATTTGGGAATTTATCAGGGCACACGAGAATTATCTAATAAGTGAAATATTAAATAATAATCATTGGCAGAAATTAATCTAAGCAATAATGGACTTAATGGATTAAGTCCTTAACGGATTAAGTCCCTAGTGGGTTAAGTAAGAAACACTTAACCATAGTTATCATTTGATGTGAAACCCTAATTTCACTTGGGCTTTGTATTGGGCCATCCGAGAATAATCAAATGGACTAGAGTAATTAGTTGGGCTTTAGGGTAAGGCCCATATGAAGGATTGGGCCCAATTTGGAAAATTGGGCCATAGTTAGGGCCTAGATGGTTGTATGATATTGGGCCCTAGAACGATACATATTGGACTGGACTGATCAATTGGGCCATATGTTGGACTTTGATCCCTAGTTGACTTTGGGCCTATGGATTGGGCCTTGGGC